GAAGCAAATAAGAACTGGAGGTGAAACAACAGTGGCACCTCTAACAGGAGGAAATTAAATACCCAGAGACAGCAGACAAAACAAACAAGGCGTCTAACACTCCGATCACGTCTGCAATTCATGGGCTCCCGGCCCAAACGCTCCTGTATGGAAATGCGCTTACTTGCCATTAACCCTATTTTACCGTTTGTTTTGATATTTTAGGAAAGGATCATGCAATTGTAATGTAACCTCACACAGCTCTGGGGAGAAAGTTGCTTCCGCTACACTGCGATCTCACTTGTGAGCTCTCTATTAAAGAGAAAGAGAAACACTCTCCTTGGTGGCACCCATAACAGTCTGGTAATAACAATCTTATTTCTGGTCTCCAGAATTCGCAAGGAATAAGAATTTACAAGTACAGTATGTAAACATCAATGTGCATCCCACAGGATTCCAAAGTGCTTCATATATCTGGGTGAGACAGAGCAGCCATTTTGCAGCAGCAGCCCCATTGCACAGCAGACCAGATGGAGAAACAAGACTCTGCTCAATTAGCAGAACAAGCTTGGGAAATGTAGGGAACCCAGGTTGTGCAAGGCCAGAGTGGAAAAATAAACAGGGTTAATCAGGACCATTTATAAGTCACTTTGATTAAAAGAGTCAGGGGATATAAATATTAATATACTGTATCTATCTGGGAAGTATATTTCATGTTTAAAAACAAAACAGTGCCACCTTCTAATTCCTCATCAGACCCATAACCAGAATAAGCCTCGCTCTAACAAATACCAGATCTCTCATTCTGACCAGCTCTGATTTATCATCGCATTAAAACACTGTTTTTTTTAGCCTTATTCCAAAAAGTTAAATGAGACTGAAAATTTGTATTTAGTCTGATACACTGCCACAACTCTGCATCTTATTCACTTTGGCAAATTTTCTGAGGTTGCCAATTAACCACAAGCATGTCTTGGGGTTAAATTGGGGTTAAAACTGGGGCTTGGATCTCTAGGAAACTGGAGCACATAGAGGAAACCCAAGCAAACATGGCGAGAGAACACAAACTCCATGCAGACAGCACCCCAGATCCAGAATTGAACCCAGGGTCCCAGCGCTGCAAGGCAACAATGCTAACCACTGTGCCACCGTGCTGCCACTAATACATTTATTTTCTGCATAAATCATAACTTCCCTAATTCATGGACTGCTGCAAGGAATCCTAAGCAGTTTGAGATGAGCAGCACTACTAAGGGGCACAAATGTAAAAGAAAATCTGACTGATTAGGTGCACAAAAACCATTAATGTTGTCCACTCAAAAAACAAATTGGACAATTTAGGAATTGCTATTTGCCTGTGGCAGTGCACATTTGTAAATAGCAACACTGAGAAGGACTGCACTCAAAATATGAGATAATGTTTTTCTCTGGAAGTTTTTTTTTGGTGGTGTTCAAGTATTCATTTTCAACTTCAGCAAACTGCCTTTAAGGGATTTTGAATCAGCGAGGTTTCTTTGCAAAATGAAAGAGAAACCTTTTAACTGCAGGGGTGTTTTGAGTAATGTCATTCCAGAAACAAAATGACAGCAGCGTTGCCACCTTCTAGGCTGATCTAGTCAGATCTCTGAAGCTCAACGTGGCCTGGACTGGTCAGGACTTGGATGGCAGACCTCAAAGGAAATCCACGCTGTCCCAGTGCGTGGCAGTGGAGGACCAGTAGGTGGCGCTCTCACCTCTGGACTAGAATTTACAGTTGATTGCCTCAGCATTGCAACAAAGGGAACACTGTGTTGTAGGAAGTGCTGTCCTTCAGGTGAGATGTCACACTGAGATCCTGCCTACGTGATCTTTGAAGATCCTAGGGCACTCTTCATGGGAACAGAGGTAACACCAGAGCCCTGGATAAGTTCTACCTGCGCTTGCACGGTCTGGCCCCCCTCCATCCAACTGGAGAAGCGATTTCCCGCTCCTCCACCTGACCTGCAGTACAGTGAGGCTGCTGAAATATAATGGCTGACGCGAGACCCTTTATAATGAAATGTGCTATACAAGTCCAAGAAATTCCATTATATACAGTACATATAGAGAAATGCCATAACATTTGTGAAATCATTAATTTCTCCCAGTGTCTCTTCACAGGCTCCCCGTGGTGTTCAGAGTCAAATTTAAGTGGCATGCCCCACTGTCAAACCTGTGATCAGAGAGCTTTCTGGGACTTCTTTTCATATGAATGGTGCTACATTAAATAAAGATTTTTATTTATTCAATTCTGTTTCCCACACGGATATCTCAAGGGAGCCTAACAGATCTTAACTGAAAAAAAACTGAAACTCCTTTCTCTGTGAATGCTCGTCCTTATGGTTAAGCAAGAAATGTAGATGTCTTAACTGCTACAGATCTCTGTTTGAAGCATGGGCATGCTGCCAGGAGATTTTAAAAAACTACAGGCAAGTCTTGATACTGTTGCCCTGCCGAAAGCACCAGCATGAGCTTCAATTTGTGAAAACACTTGAAATGGAAACCGAGAACGATATTTAAATATTCACACTAGCCCTTCCATGTCCTTACTGGCATTAATATACTGCCATGCCCTGTTCTCGGGTGTTCTGATGATTTAATTTTTTTCAGTTGCATTGAGAAATGGAAGATCGGAGAATGCCCGCTCAGGTCTGCCCACGTCAAGGAGTGCAGATGACGTCAACCTCGGGGCCCCCAAGCACCTTGCACAGAGGACTGTCTACTGAAGCCAGTCTGAAGTCTTGTTCCCAATCCCTACAAACCCCTCCCTGCCTCCTACAGCTAAAGCACTCTGAAGGCACAAGCAAGAGAAAAGCGGGGCAGTCAGTCTCTGGGGTGGGGTGAAGCTTAGTCAGCTGCTGATGAAGGAATCAGCAGGGCAGCCAGGCAGGGGGGCAGTGGCCAGGGCTGGAAAGTGGGGGTGCTTTTAGTGAGTTGCAGGGCCGAGGACGAATGCCACAGGGTCCCAAGAGCGCTCGCTCAAGATCACCGAGCAAGCCCCCACTGTGGGCTCCTTTCACATCGGGAGAAATGGGCGTTGCTGGCACGCATGCAGACACATCAACCCACGCATCGGCATGTCCTCACCAAACACGGCAGGGAAAAGCAGAACGTGCTGGTTCCGACTGTAAGCTGGGAGGGAACTCCTAAAGGACTGGAGGACTCGTCGCAGCAGGAATTCAGGAACTCCTGGTGAGATGGGTCAAACACACCGCCAGACTGGGGCAAGATGGGT